TATTACCCTTTAAAAGAGGGAGTTCATGAAAAACTTTACCCTCCCCAAAATAACCTTCCACCAAATTTAGTTACCAAACGTATCCTCAATTGATAAGCCACTTTACTCTTTTTCATCGGTTACGACCCCAACCCCTCATCTCTCTCCATCTATCTTGGCCTCTCCTTCGCCGTCTTCTTAGGCTTCCTCCCCAAATCCTCCATCCCCTACCTCTCCTCTCTCCCCGCAACCGAATCCTCAGCCTCAAGCTCTTCCAGGCTAAGAACCAGCTAAAAACCCTAAGGTCGAGGAGGAAGGAGGATTCCAAGGCCAACGCCCGCGTCGTCGAGATCTTCGCCAGCCACCGCCACGCGTGGCAGCAGGAGGAGCGACGACTTTTGGATCAGATCGAGTCGACGAACGAGGAGATCGAGGGGTTGAGGGGGAGGGTCGGGGAGCTCAAGATAGAGGTGAGGGAGAGGGACGAGAGATGAGCAATACAACTTGCCGCTAGATAGAAAGAAAGATCATGAACAAGAATAAGCAAAAGGGACAATAAGAGGAAGCTTAATAGACCCATTTATTGTCCTATGTAGACAAGACAAGTAAATTGGTTAAATGTTGGTACAGAATCTTGTCATGTCGAGCTTATATATGTGAGCAAGTAGGGGGGTGTTTGTTTTGAGCATGAAAGAGAGTTTGAAGCAATATATGACTCATAGTTTATGTAGTGAGAAGGAGATTGAGACGAAAAGTTTTCCATTGGCTGGTTGCCTACCTACATCTGACAATTCTCATGTCAGCTAGAATTACATAAAAAAGAATGATACTTTCAAAATAAGTTTTTTAAAAAAGAATGATTATCATGTCCGTGAAGATCTAATGTATGCTAAGGCAGATAAAAAGTTCTTCTTTAGTAGACATTCTTATTGTTCCTCTACACCTTAACAATGCATTAGTAAGAAAAGCTTAAAGTATGCTTATTATCTCTCTATCTGCAAAAAATTTCAAACCTGCAATCTTTCCAATCAGAGCCTGACAAACCAAAGCCTAAATTATGTTTATCATATTCTGTTGCTAACACTTATAAGTCATAGTTTATTAACACAGATCTTAGTTTCCTGAACTTTTGAATAGCCAATCACTTTTTTATATTTCCTTTGAACTTAGTTTACCTATTGAACTGTAAGAGGTAGTACAGAAGTTATGCTAGCATTGACTAATGACAATATTTTTGTGTCAACTCATATATAACTCTAACTAATACCTGCATGATTGACACATAGTTAGTAGCCATGGTAGAGTTCTGAATAACACTGTTCTTTTAGTGTTAGACTTTGATACTGATGCAAATTTCTTTTATTGATTTCAGGTACGAGTTTACTGTTTTTAATGAGTTAGTTGCTGGAAGAACAGTCTGGACAGGTATTATTTATCGAAGCATGTATGCATTTTAAGCTTAGCTTCTTATTGGCTCTCCCTATAGTCTATATTTCCCCCTGTTCTTGAAAGATTTTCCTTAACATTTCATGTTTGTTTTACTACAGTACCACCTGATGAGGTGCAGGCTTTGTTGGTTTTTTATGGTACTTTACTGTGGTTTTTTAGCTATATATTCATAGGCATTTCATGTTGTTTCTTGCTTTAGCGAAATCCATGGAATTTTGACATCTTGGTTATTCTTAGTGCATCCTGGCCTTGTTTATGAGTTTTATGTAAACTTTACCCATGCTATTTTTTATAATACTTGCTTGATGCGTTCCCTCCATATTTTTAATGATCAATTGTTGTGGTTCTTACCTAATGCAGATGGTGAAGCTCCTGCTTTTGACGAGAGCCTAAAAGTTTGGATCTTTTTGACAAAAAATGTTGAATTTAAGTGAGAGTTTTAAATCGTGTACATAGCACACTTCTCCTTGCTGCAGTTATGCTTGTTTCTCATTAATATTTCAATGTGGTTGTTCCTAGAAGTGTTTATGTTTACACTCGGTTCTCCTTATATGTTTTTCTCTATCTGTTGTGTTCTGTTGTACACTTTTTATTATGGATTCATGATTTATTTGCTAAATGGTGATGTAGGTGTGCCATGGGAAATTGCTATAGTTTGTTGAAAGATCATGAAACTACACTGAAAAATTTTCTGCGTGCAGTGCAACTAGACTCGAGATTTGCTTATGCTCATACACTATGCGGCCATGAGTATGACTTTTATTCTCTTGCATTATTTCATTACAGTTTTCCTGTATACAATAGGACATTTGTTTTATACTATCAGGCTGTTTAAAAAGCAGTCCCGGCTTCTACCTTGGCGGAGGCAGCTCTGAGGCCTCACATTATAGCGTCTAGGAGCTCCTATTGAATATTGACGCCTTAAGCCTATTTTGGGTGAATTGGGTATGCCTAAGCACCATGTTCCTCATAATGGCCACCTTGACCGTATGCGTGTGTTGTTGAAATTGGGTATGTCTATTTTGGGTGAATTGGGTATGCCTAAGCACCATGTTCCTCACAATATATATATAGTGTGCGCGCGTGCGCGTGTTACCTGCACCCCTACTGGTGCACCCCTACCGGTACATGTACCCCTACCCGTTTCCATGCAACTTAGGTTGGAACAAACTTCCTGATATTTACTAAATATCTCCAATATACCCTGGTATTCATCATCCGCTGTGGAATTTTTCGGATCGACACGGACATGCCCTTGACATCTGATATTTAGAACACAGCCGCCATCCGATGTGGAAATATTCTTTCTGACATGACCTTGATGTCTGATGTTTAGCACACTTGATACTGATCTTTGACACCCTCTTGTTATTGGGTGGAAAAAGTAAGTCATGCTACTAAGTGCCGAATTCATAGTAACCTGTTTTTACATCCAATCAAATAGTAACACCTTGCCAATGGTTTATAACTTCAAATATTTATGTTCAGTGCTTATAAGATATTGTCAATTTCTCATATCTAAATTACTAGATTAAATTAGTTGTCATATCGAGTTATTTCTTATTACGTATTTACCTACAACCGTTCTTTATGTGATTGTAGATCTGGAATGCATATTTACTGTCATATGTAACCTTGTCACAAGAGCTAGCAGTCTAGATGAAGCACTGGAGATGGCAAAACTCATTTCTGCAAAAGTCGCACAGCAACCGAATGATAGACCCGCTCTGCGCTTGAAAATGTAAGTGAAATGTATTGTCTTCATCCAAGAATTGTTAATTGGCTGCTCTCTCTTACACATGTAACATGCTTTGAGCAGCTTATTCAATCTCTACAACCTGTTAGAGAACCTTACAGCAGGTTCTTTGTTTATACAAAAGCGCTTGACTTGGCAACAAATGGGAAAGTAATTGAAAATATCATCCCTTCTTTTAAAAAGATTGATAGTTTGTTACAAGAATGGAATATTGGTAAAGTGGATCAGAGGGATCTTTTCCTTACCATCTCTAACATTTTGAAGGATAATAAAAGGTACATATTGATGTTAAAAGCTATGTTATTTTCATTTCCTTCTGCAGTAGCTATATAGAGATTCTGCTTTCTCAATTTGCAGCATGGCCAAAGATTCTTTTAATTTCCTGAACAAGTACCTAGCAACATTTTCAAGTGAGGATGAGGACTCATATGCAACTAATGAAACTAAAGAGGAAGCAGTGCGGGCTATTATAGAGTTTGTGAAGTCTCCAGACATGTTTCAGGTATCCAATGGTAGCTCTATACTGTATATTTATTTATCCTTTTCTCTCGTAGTATTCCTTTTGTATTACCATATTTCTAAGACTGTTTCATTTCTTCTACGGTTAATTCAAGTAAGTTAAGCATTTCTTATCTAGCCAAACAAAGCCTCTTAATTTTGAGAGGAGCTCTGGTAGTCTAGATTTACCAGAGTCTTGCAGTCTTCTCAGTTTTCCTGATTACTGAGGCCTAGATAGCAAGGGCAAGCTCTTCACATGGGTAACCCGATATTCTCTCGATTAAGATAAAGTTGACACTCATAATAGAAAAACAACAGAGCTCTTATGGAAGTTAATTTTAGAAAATGGCAAGAGTTTGAGGATAGAGAAGATTTATTTGTTTCTACTGCTTGTGGTACACAAAATTTTTAGTTTTGTACTAATACAAGAGAGCAGCCACAGCAGTCTTTATCTTTTTTGTACTGAAGGTTGATGAGTCCACGCAGTCTCTGATAATGGCTTATTGAATATCTGTGTTCAGAACATGTCATTCATATATACCAACCAGCTAATATGTAAAACTACATTATGATGGTTGTAAGAAAAAGACTAAATAGTTAGAATAACAATGTTATCTATGATATTTCAAAGGATCCAATATAGTTCTTCGATATGCAAGTACTAATTATCCAATAAAAAAATAAATGAGAGCTAAATTTATAAAAAGCCTGTTGCCAGTGGTCATCGACATGTTTACTTAGATCATTCAGTTGCTTAGTTGGTGAGCATGCATTTCCTTCCCTCAAACTTCTCATCATAATAGCAAACAGTGTTCAAGTTAACCTCACTGGTCCAACATGTTGATCTTAATAGACCAATACTAATTACAGCCCTCCCTAACCATTGGAAGATGGGCTTCATGTAGAGCATTGAGTGTTTATGAGCTGCTATATATGAATAAACCTGTTATGCTATGAAGCACGGACACACATAACATGAAGTCGTGTCGTGTCGTGTCCGTGTCGGACACACGTGTCGAACACACGTATCCTATGTATTTTTTAGGATTTGCCTTCTTTTGGCGTGTCGGATGACCGTGTCAGATCCGTGTCCGTCCTACATATCTGTTATGTAGTTTAGTTACTATGATAGCTTTGATCCGCAAACCTATAAAATGTATTAGGCTTATATATGCCAAAAAATTAAAATTCATTCTTTCATAACATAGAATTTTGTGTCTATGTTTTGATATTGAGATATTACTGGAAAATTATGTTGACTATGTCTTTTACTTTGCAGGTTCAAGTCATGTGTGCAGTACCTATTTTGGAACAAAGCCACCCTCCCTTGATATAGTGAGGATATTCAATTTCAGTAATGAAGTATACCGCAGGTACAGTCCAGCATCCCTTTTACATGCTCTAACCGCATAACAATCGAAGAGGAAAATTATATAGAAACGAGGATATGTATTTTTCGCAGTCTACTTATTGAAGTACTGATGCTTATTGATGCAGGATTCTTCAAGCACCATTTTCTGTATTATCTCTATCTCAAAACAATGTCGCTATTTCCTTTGAAAAGGACCCGAACGTCCAGTCTTTCGAACTGCATTATAATGCCTGTAATGCGTCCTTATTGCCATGTTCTTCTGATGGAGTTGATGACACACATCAGAGCACTTCTTCCTTAGTGCAAAAACCAATACCTGCAGGAAGGCAGGCATCATCAGAAGACATAAGCTTTACTAGGTGAAAATTGGGATAAAGTATCTTTAAACAAGATTTTATTGACTGATTGTTACAGTGCTGCATTTTTTTTTGCTTTTCATCTTGCAGCTTGATAGTTGCTGCACCAGAAATGGATGTGGGGAGTATAATTGAAGATTTGCTACCACTTTTATCATATTATGCACCTTTTGCAATTTATCATCAGTACCTTAAGGTGTGTTATGTCAACCTCAAGTTGGGAACTACAATCTCCTTTTGCTATAAGTTCAGAAAATTGCACGATTTGAATAACATGCATGTCTGCGGTGATAAGACACCATTGTTTTTCCAATGTGAATACTCGTAGCAAATTGCATTTTAACATTTTGATGGGTTCAAGTACCACTCAAATAGTCTTGAGGCTTCTATGGAGTTTGTAGATTAAAATATATAGGACTTATACATGGACAGTTTCCGATTGATATCCAGTGCACATATTTGTTTGATAATTTAGATAATATGTGGACAAACTATGAGTACAGCTACAATTAAAGATTATTTGTTCAATAAAATTGATCACTGTGGACCAAATTAGTAACCTTGGAATTTGGTTGTCATAAATGTATTGATTTCTTTTGGTGATACTCTTTTTTATGCATTCCGGAACATGATTTACCAGTACAAAACTTAATATTGAAAGTGCTAATGTTTATAAGTAATTTACCTGAACATTGTTACTTTAGTTAATTATGAAGAAAATATCCAACCATATATTGGTTCTTTGTTATATTGGAGCTTTGTCCTATGATATTTATATAGGACATTGAAGCATTTGGAGCAGGTTAAGGACTTCACTCCATGTGAGAGCAGCATCTACGCGTTGATGGGGAAGATTCACAAGAGGCTTAATATGCATGCTAAGGACATGTTCTACTTTGGTATTGCATTGGACCTGAAGCCTCCAGCATCTGATGTTGCTGCTATCAAGGTACTGCATTCAGATTTTTTTGTATGGTCTATCCTTTCCCTTTATTATTTCCCTTTCTTATTTCAGATGCCTAAGGTTATCTGAAATGTTGAGATCTATTAAGTTTTAAATTTATTCACGTACTTGTATGGCCTAAACTATTTTCAAGTCCAAGTTAGATAAAAACTATAGGGTTTAATATTGATTTAATTATCTTCCCGTCTTTTTTTTAGAGAAAAAGAAGGCAAGGTGACCTATTCATTGAAAATATATTAAAATATAAAAAATTTACAAGAGGGATGCGAACAGAACTTAAAAAGTCCCATATCCAAAAGTTGATATAACAGTTATAACAGGATGGGGAGCGAACAAATCGTCGTCGTCACTCACCACAAGCTAGGATATAACAGTTGATAGTTCCCCCTTAATTTAGACATGGAATTTTGAAGCCTTCGAACAAAAGCATCACCTGAACATCAGCCATCATAATACTTTACAGAAAAAAACCAAATAAAGAAAAAAATAAAAAAAATAAAAGAAGAATAAGAAGAATAAGAAGAAGAAGCAAGGCTTAAATTGTATTGGCCGCCGCTAAATCTTCTTCACCCTTTCTACAATTAGCAATTATTTTTAAGTTTTCCCCCTTAACTTCGAAGAGCAATGATGTAGAAGACTCTCATTTACTACCAAAAAGACTAAAAATTGCAAACAATTAGTAATCATTTTTGAGCTTCCCCCCTTAACTTCGAAGAGCCATGGTGTAGAATTCTCTCATTTACAACTAATAAGGGGTGATAGAGTATGATTCTGGACATTTTAGCCAATTATGGACACATGATTAAGCAAATCATGGGGTTTATAAAATACATTCTACTGTAGAAACAATGAAACTGAGGCAGTAAGCTATTCATGGAATTAATTCTTCATCATTAAATGGCTGTATTTGTTGTGCTTTTTTATTTATGACCTATTAACATTTATATATAAATTTTAGTCTGCGATGGAGAAATTGCATTTCCCAAATGAATTGGAGGACAACTTATAGATTCATTTCCTCAAAACTCAGAAGGTGCAGCAAGAGCTCAATTGGCTTGGCCGCATGCTTGGGCTTTCAGACTATCTTCTTGAAAGCAGACTTTCGAGATACTATTGAAGACAGCCCATTCTTGAAGAAAGCGGCGGCTAACCTCTAACATTGTATTACTCGTCTCAAATGTAACATTAATCATTCAGTTTAGTAGCTTTAGTGAGTCATCGAGTGAAACATTTGTACTGAGAGCATGACTGATAATGCATGTATAATGTTTGGACGCTTACATCACAGTGAAAGGAACTGCATAAATACAGAGGAAAACAGTGCATTGTTGGTAGATGACGGCTGTTTGCCTTCTTAACTTGTAATTCTTTTACATTCTTATAAGTTTAGTGCATTGTTGGTAGATGACGGCTGTTTGCCTTCTTAACTTGTAATTCTTTTACATTCTTATAAGTTTATCTCGAACGGTCAAATGTGTTCCATTTAATTTAAATCTAATCGGTATTGTTTTCTGCAACGAGAATTCACTTATGATAAATTAATGTGAGCCTTTAACCAGCTTACAAATTTGCATTGGTCCCCCAATCAATCAATAAATGTAATTTAATTGTTCAAATGTTGAATGTTTAGATTATGTCTATATGTTTTATCCATTACTTACATTTCATAATTTTATAACAAAACTTTATAAATCCAACTAGTAAACCGGAAACATGGAACTTTAGAACTTAGTCCCAAATGCATAAATTAAGGTTCATCTTTTTGAAATTGTCATCATCTATGCCATTTCCCATCAACATAGAGTTATAGAGTCACATTACACTAAGAAATAATTAACTGGACAGTTAAATTTAGTGTCCAAAATCAACACAATATAATACATCAAGTAGACTGATATGTAATGATACAATTTCAATAATAAGAACATAATACAGTATGAAATAATAATTACACATCACCATTACGAAAATCAACACACTACATACAACTTCAAATAATAAAGTTAACTGGACAATTATAACCAATGTCCAAAATCACCACTACAAAATCAACATGAAACAATCGAGTACCCAGATTTAAAACATTACAACTTCGATAATAAGGACATCCTAGACACATATATATTAAGAGTTTACTTCCTGGGTAAAAGTATTTTCTAGCAAATTTTCTGATTCCTCTGAGATAAATGCAATAACGATCTTTGCTCTTAGAAGTTCACAATCATTCTGATGAATCAATAGAGTCATACCATTAATGATGAAATATATGTATCTCATCATGAAAATGCCTCAATCTAAGCTCCTACACAAACAAATGCCACAATCAATAATTATATGGTAAAATAATGATATTTAATAAAAACTAAACTAATACACTATAAGTTATAGTCACACCAATCATGTTGTCGAACCTGTCACGTTTCTATACTATACCCTGTTAGACCCTAGAGGGGGGGTGATTAGGGTCTTATGCTAATATAATCCGATTTTATGCCAATTAAAACTTACTAAAGAATTATTCTTGCAAGATAGATATACAATATGATATGAGCGAGAATATGCAATATGAATAAAGAGATATATCCTAACAAAGAGGTATATGATGAAATATATGTAAGGATATATAAATTAACACAAAAGTAAACAATCAAAACTAAAGATACAATTGTGATAGGGCAATATAAACAATGCAAACACATAATATGATCACGGAGTTCGGACCTTCTATCCTACGTCTCCGCTCCCCACTCCCGGAGAGAAATTCACTAACATAAACCGGGTTTTTTATGCTCACCCGATTAACGTTTACACCATACAATAACGGTTTTCTAGCTAACCAAAAACTTTACAATCCACACTCTTGTAATCCTACTTTACACCCTCTTAAGTGTTGGTCTCTAGTCCATATCTCCCTCAAGTGTTAGGAATTACAATATCTCTCTAGGCATTACCACCTACTTCACTCCTCTTAGGATGACCCCATCTCTCACCACACACTCCTCTCGGTGTACAAGTGTATTACAAAGTGATCTACATAAATAAGGCTCACAAATACAAATTTATTCTCTACAATAGATGAGAACTCAATTAAGCTCACTCTCAATTGTTACAACTCCCAAAAACCTAATTATACAATGTATGTAAATACAATAAGCTCAATGGTTGTGTGTGTAAGCAATGAGAAAATCAATTATAAACTCAATGTAAACCCCTAGCTTGATAAAAATGATAAACAACAAATAATTAATACAAAGCTAGTATTGAGTTTAGAAATTCTTCTCTGAAGAAACAAGATGGAGGGATGGATTAAAATGGAGCTCAAACAATGTAGATGATCTCCTCCACTTGTGAAAGCTTCTTCACAAACCAAACAAACTTTAAACCAAAACTTAAACATACTTAAACACCCTTTAAAAACTTGTTTAAACTTTTCTTAGATAGTGGGAGAGGTAAATGCAATGGGGTATTTATAGCAACCCAAGACATCAGCCAAAACCCTAAGGAAATGACCAAAAACTCACACAATAAACAGAATCTGGAAATAGCTGTTACTGTGTAACAGACACTTTATGGGTCGACTCATAAAAATCATGGGTCGACTCATAACCTAGCCATTATAGGCTAAAAACAGCTTATGGGTCGACTCATAAAATTCATGAGTCGACTCATCATTTATACCTTAGCCATTATAGGCTAAAAATAGCTTATGGGTCGACTCATAAAATTCATTGTTAGGTCTCATGTTATGAGCCTATATCTTCTAATCTTGTTTTGATGATCATAAACAACTCCTAACAATGTGTGTCGAGTGTTTGCATTTGTTTTGTTAGGTAATCTACACAAATATCCAAGTTGAAGGTTGGATGGATTGAGCCTACACGATCACATCAAATGAAGGTTGGCGGAATAGTAGAATGAAGCCATTACACATCAAGTCATATTCAAGATCAAGCTTCATCCGCAACCAAGACGAGCATATTAAAGATCCA